TGAGGCATTCTCATGCACTCTATTTTTTTAAAGTATTTCTTGTGGGTACCTAGTAGGTATATATATATATATATATATATTTATGGGGTACATGAGATGCTTTGATATAAGCATGCAATGCATATTAATAACAACATGTAAAATGAGGTATCCATCCTGTCAAGCATTTATCCTTTGTATTAAAATGATCCAATTTTACTCTTTCAGTTATTTTTAAATGTACAATTAGACTATTATTGACTACAGTCACCCTGTATTCTTATGCACTTTTAATACAATTGTTTTCTGTTTAAGCTAGCTCAAATTGATTTCTATTACCTGTAATAAACAATCTTAACTATTAGGGCATTAATCTCTCCCAGTAGATGGTAAATTCCGTGAGGTTGGGGAATGTGTATTATTCATCTTTCATATATTCCCAATCTCTAGTACAGAGTTTGGCAAAGAGAGGTGCTTAATGAATATTGCTTGAACAGAAATATGATTATCATCAAGACAATAACTATAAATAATTTATTTGCAATTTATACTTTATTAAAGGTTACAATACCTTTTTAACTACCTAGAAAATTTCTTTCCATTTAGCTTCTTGATAAACAATTTTTATTTTCATGTTTTATAATCGAACTGTTCCATTCAGGCTATATGTGAAAAACACATTCTTGGAAATTGATTATTCAAATTTAGCTGTTGATATTGTTTTTTCCTCCAGTTCAATGTATAGTCAAATGTAATTATTGAGGGATGCCCTAATCACTGAGGTTGATACTTAAGTAGGACTATCAAACTCTTCTAAGAAATGTTCATTAGAAAGTAAAGAGATAACCCACAGATTAGAAGAAAATATTTGCAAACTACCCATCTGACAAAGGATTAATACCAGAAAATATAAGAAGCTCGGCCAGGCGCGGTGGCTCACGCCTGTAATCCCAGCACTTTGGGAGGCTGAGGCGGGTGGATCACGAGGTCAAGAGATCGAGGCCATCCTGGTCAACAGGGTGAAACCCCGTCT